AAGAGAAGGGAAAATAAATATTAAACAGATGGGTGGTCAAATGTTGTTGTTGTTTTTCTTTTTAAGCACAAAGCCTTAATCGAAAGCCAAACAGAGATAAAGATAAACAGCAAGTTGCCCTCCGCAGCCAAAGAGCATAATACCCAGGAAATTAAATGAAATCAGTCTAAAATACTGATTGCAATTCATATGAACTTGGAGTCCTGATGCCAAATGAAACATTAAAGCCTGTCTGCTATTTTTAGGGCTTTGTATCTTGGTGGATGTGTAATGAATCAGGATGTGTCTTGGCAAACTCACCGGCAGACTGAAAGATTTTTGTTTTCTTACCAAAAATAGTTGGAGTCTCCTAAACCGTGGTGGGAGCACAGAGTGACTGGATTACTTGAGGAATCTGACCCAGTCACTGACTCCTGGAGGTGGCAGGTCAGGTGCCCCAGGCCAAGGCCTGACACCTGGTCTATTTGAGGAAGAGCCTCCAAAACCCCAGGAGCGTCAGTGAGAAGGTGAGCTAGCACTTTGATTTACAATTTAGGAGGCATGTCACACAGGAATCCAGGAAGTTTCAGAACTGAGGTATCGCCAGGTCACTGGTGTAAAGATTTCAGCCTGGGCAATTGGGTGAGTCCCTCTCAGCACCATTATACACATTCTGTCTCTGGAAAAGTCTCTCTCCTTCCATGGGACCTCAGCATGACCAAAACCACCGACTTCAGTGTCAGAACATCTGAAGCCAGTGGTGTGACCCCACCCAGTATCCATCACCACGCTGAGCCTCAGGTTTCTCACCCTGAAAAGGGCGAGGTAGACCTAGGATCTCTGAGGTTCTTCTTATTCCCCAAAATGGGATTTCCAATGACCAATTCTGGATTCCAAACCCTGAGAAACTCTACCCTGGCTGTTGCCAATGTGGGGGTTGGGCATGACAATCAGAATACTTTAATTTGGTGGCATCTTGCAATTTTATCAGGCTGACCAAAGATGGCCCAGCATTCCAGTAGCTGTTACTCTAGTGTGTAGTCCTATCCAGGTAATCTCACAGTGCTTCTGGAATAGTCTTTCATAGCATAATGGATCATATATAAACTAGGCCCGGTGAACACCCTTGAGCACAGAGATCATCCCGAGAAGGCCAGCTGTGCTACTATAGGAATATAGTAGAATATATATATATCTGTGTGTGTGTGTGTGTGTGTGTGTGTGTGTGTGTGTAAACATGCCACCCGATGACATCAGTGTCCGTCTGTGGACACTTTGTGATAAGGAACACCTCTTCTCCGAGGGCTCTGCATGATGATCTCTCCAAAGTGAGTTAATGAGCATCTGGAAGAAGAGGAAACAGCCAAAAAGAGGGTAAATGACCAGGATTCAAACCCAGATAATCCGTCTTCAGAGCCCTCAAGCTTCTCCTGACACGGCTTTATTATAAATACAACTGTGCATACTATGAGGGACACTAATTGCTTAACCTTATAACCCATTTTTATTAATTATTTGTGTGTGTGTGTGTGTGTGTGTGTGTGTGTGTGTGTGTGAATGTGCACGTGTGTGGGTGTTGTGTGCACAGACATATGTGCATGAAGAGGTCAGAGGGCAACCTCAGGTGTCGTTCCTCGGGCACCATCCTCCATGTATTTTGTTTTGTTTTGTTTTGTGTTTTTTGAGACAGGGACTCTCATGGGCCTGGAGTTGACTAAGTAGACTAGGCTGGCCGGCCGGCCAGCCCCAGGAACCCATATTTCTGCCTCCCTAGCACTGGGATTGTGAATAAATGCCACCATGTCCCCTTTATTTACATAGGCTCTGGGAATACAAACTCCTGTCCCCTTCCCTGAGTGAACTACCTATTTCCCAGTCCTGCTTTGATTTAATTCTTAAATACTTTATCTGGAAACAATCACATACGTCTATGGAAACTGCAGAAGCAAAATATTTGAGCCCTTTGAAAACAAGTACTGGTGTGAAATATCACCCATGAATGTCCTGTGTCTTTACCTTACAGCCACCACAGGGCCATCGCCATCCCGAGAGTCGTGGGTTGTGAGCTACATCTCTCTGCCGGGCTGTGTAGCCTCCTCCAACCTGCTGATCTTTCCTCAACTTCTAAGGCCTTGGTGTTTTTTTTTTTTTTAAATTATAGCCGGTTTATTTTAAAGAATGGACCTCAGTTAGAGCTTTCCTGGTGTATTCTCACAATTTAACTCAGGGTAGGCATCTTTGACAGGAAGATCACAGTTATAGTACCGTGTTTTTCTTCTTACCCTGAGCAGGTGGCACATAATTTTGATTTATTTTATTACTAGTATTGTTGGCTAGAAAAAACTGACAGACACAAAAGTATAAATTGCTCATTTTTCTTTTGTGATTTGTTGGTATTTCGCAAGAGGGTATTTTAAAACTGTGTAAATATCCCACTCCTGAGGAAACTTCCAAGTTCTATATTTGGTAACCGTTAAATTCATTTATGCTAATATGAACTCAAATTTCTTTTTTGATCCACTGAACTAAATGTATCATTTTTAATGTTCAAGTTACCCCAGATGTGACCTGTGGGAGGCCTTTTCCTCAGGCTTCGGTGTCCTTGGCCAGGCTGCCACCATCCTCTGAATCTAACTTTTTGGTTTAACATATGTTCCAGACCCGTCCTGCCCTTGCCTGTCCTAACTCTGACACCGCTCGCTTCTCCAAGGAGCCTCAGGCTGTCCGGCGGAAGGCCGTACTTAGGAGTCCACATGTGGTTCTAGGTGTGCTCATAGCTGCTGGCCACTGTGGCTGCTGCCCGTCTCCATGCTGGACAGCCCTCCTCGGCACACCTCTCAGACTTCTGGATGTAAAGTTCCTCATTTCCACGTGAGCTCTAACGACCTGCTCAGAGCGTCCCTCCCCATTCCCACAACACCTGCCCCCCCCCAAACACTACTGAATACCCACCTTGTCCAGCCCTTCCTAACAGCGTCTGTGTAGAAGGACAGGGGACTTCGCATGCTTATAGGTTGCTTCCCTTTTTAGTTCACTCAGGCTCAGGAAAGAACACGGAGGAGCTCCTCCATTAGTCACTTGTATTTCCACACATTCCCACCAAATCATATCACTGTCCACTGCCCATCTTGGACATCAGCCTGACCAGGGTCCCAAAGTGTGGTGACTCTGGTTAGAGCCAAGGCTGGAGAAGCAGCTGCCAGAAGAATTCTAAACATTAGCATCTCTACAGGGAGACGGGAAACCCCTTCCATCCCCTCAGAGCAGAATGCGGGGACATACACACCCCGTCCCATTTCTCAGTGGGGAAGGAAGCAAACCTCTCATTAGAAATGACTTATCACACTGGTACTACTATTCCACATGGAGGAGTAGTGTGGGTGGAGGTGTCAGAGAAGGTGGGACATGGAGCATGTGGAGTCTGGAGTTGCTCAAACTACAGCTGATGCCAGCTGATGCCACCTGCATCACACCACAGGGTATGACTGAGGGAAAAGTCACAGAACCTGTGTGTGCCTTCACCTCTCACTGGTGAAACAAGGAACCACAACAATAACGGCAAACAGGATCACCTCACTGTCCTGTTAACAACCCCACCGCTCTTGTGTTCCCCCTGGAGTCCTGTCTCCCAGACCTGTCTTGAATGTTCCCCTGGGATTTACATTTGCAGTCCCTCAGCCTGAAGGACCACTATTGCCATGCATGTCTCCTCCCAAATGTCACTGCTTCAATTTAAAACCATCCCTTTCCGCCTCATCCTCTCTCCTCCTCCAGGCCAAAACCCCTCTCATTACTGAAAGTGTGAGGCAGACGTGGGTACTCCTAGCACTTGGGAGGCAGAGAGGATCATGAGTTAAAACCCAGCCTAGGCTATACAGAAAGCTCTCGTCTCTGAAAAGAAGAAATGATGTTTGTATTGGTTGGCTTATGAAGACACTGTCCCTATGAGAATATGAGACTGCGAACACAGGAACTAGCCATGGCCCAGTACCTGGCACAATGGCTGGCACTTAGTAGGTGTGTAAGATACACATGATATAGATGATCAAGTGCAGGTAGCTATTTTATGTAATTCTGTGAGGATGAAATGAAAGAAGTGAAATATTAAGTCAACAGCAGCTGCTATAATTAATAAAAGTCACCAGGAGCCCGAGGTCTTGTCTTGTTCTCTCTAGACACCAGGGTGACCGCAGGCAACCCAGACAGTCCTCTAACCTGCGCTGTTCTCATCTACAAACTTTATAATGTGGGGAATGGGGTTGTCAGGGGTTTTCCTGGATAAAAGTTCATTGTTTTGCCTATTTCAGGGTCAAAGTGTTCTGCCCCATCCAATGATAGATTCATTCTTGCCTGGTAAAAGCGGCTGCTCCAGCAGCTTTCAGAAAGCCTAACTGTTGTACTTCTTAGGGTTCCTGGGATCCACTTTCAACCTATCCATTTGGTCAAGCTTACAAAGAGGTTTCCAGGCCACTCTGCACAATCCTTGAATTATCTACCGTATATCCCCTCTCCCTACCTAATTTCTAGACACAAAACAAGTGAAATTTAGCCTAAAAGCCTTTTGCTCCAGGCCATAATGAAAAGTTTATCAAAACAGAGTTGAGAGAGATTTGAGGAAGTGTTGCTAGAGTTTTCCTGCCTGGCCCACACAGTCAGGACAAATCTCTCTCACCCGCCAGTCCCACAGCCGCTCAGACCCAACCAAGTAAACACAGAGACTTATATTGCTTACAAACTGTATGGCCGTGGCAGGCTTCTTGCTAACTGTTCTTATAGCTTAAAGTAATCCATTTCTATAAATCTATACCTTGCCACGTGGCTCGTGGCATACTGGCGTCTTCACATGCTGCTTGTCCTGGCAGCGGCTGGCAGTGACTCCTCCCTTCCTGTTCTTTCTTTTTCTCCTCTCTGTTAGTCCCACCTATACTTCCTGCCTAGCCACTGGCCAATCAGTGTTTTATTTATTGACCAATCAGAGCAACACATTTGCCATACAGAACATCCCACAGCAAGGAAGAACAGTTAAATTGGCATTTCACACGGTGGTGCTGCACACCTTTAATCCCAGCACTCAGGAGGCAGACCCAGGAGGATCTCTGTGAGTTCGAGGCCAGCCTGATCTACAGAGTGATATCCAAGACAAGCACCAAAACTACACAGAGAAACCCTGCCTCGAAAAACCAAGAAAAGAAAAGAAAAATGAAAAAAGAAAATCAGCATTTCACTCAGATATATTTAATGATACTCCTAGATCTGAGATAGAAATCTATAATGCTAGAAGCATCAGCTCATCTCTTAAAAGAAAGTTCCTGAAATATTGTTTAAGGAGAACTTTAAACTGTCCGCCCCCCCCCCCCGCGCCCCCCAAAAAAGTTCCAACATGTACAGCCTTCCCAAAGCCCCAAGAAAACCCCTCCAAGGACAACAAACTGAGGGATCCTCTTAGAAAAAGGATTCCTAGGCAACAAAATAAAAAATAAAAAAAGCAACATGGGGCTGGAGAGATGACTCAGCCGTTGGTTGAGTTCCCAGCACCCACACGATGGCTCACAACCATCCCTAACTCCAGTTCCAGAAGATCTGATGTCCTCTTCCAGACACATAAAACAAAAACAAATCCTTACAAATAGACTTTTAAAAACAAGACAGTGTGTCAGGTAGACAGAGCTGTGTCAAGGAAGTCTGTCAAGCCCAGTTCATTTGTTCACCTTGGTGGTCTGACAGGGTTCAAGTTCCACGGGCGACAGAAACAGATACAAGAGGAGGAAAAGGCCCAGCCGCTGCCCACGCCAAACTTCTCTCCCATGTGCAGTGTCTGAGTTTCCCCTCGTTTGACCGGGAGACTAAAGTCCTCACTAAGGTAACGCCAACAGCCCTTCACCCCTGTGGGTTAACTTAACGAATGCCCAGCGCTCCTTCTCCCAGATTCAAGTGGAAGAGGTGGAGGTTTAACTGACAGTGTTTGGAGGGCTCAGAGTCTGCATCGAGGGGCCCCACTTATTTTAATGCTGGACTCCAAAGCCACCATGAAACAGAGCAGAGGATCCAGTAAGAAGTGTGGTCCCGGGCCAACTCGGGAAGGGGTGTACATCGTCCTTCACTGGCCACAGCTCATGGCAGGCCACAGCTGACAGCAAAACCAAACAATGTGTTCTGCGTGACAGTGCCAGGAGGAAGCGTGTGTGGGGAGCAGCCAGCAACCTCTGCCACCAAGGGCCATAGTTAGACATCAAAGCCTTTGTCTAAATGACTGGATGTTTATAAAAATCCCAAGTGCCCGTAGGGACAGTCAACTGTGACCTGACGATAGAAGGTGACCAGTGTCCCGCAGCGCGGATGGCAACACGTTCTTCAATGTCTGTAAAAGGTAGAAAACACTTAGGCAGACAATGGGGTGCGTGTGCAAGACTGCTTCCAGAAGTCTTCCCGAGGAGTGTGTTAGGAAAGCCGAGTGCATACAGAGAGCACAGCAGGCCAGCAGGGAAAACACTTCTGGGATTTCTGTTGCCTGAACCACTGGTTGAAAAATAGCAAGGCCGTGCTATTTAATTCTCACAATATTACCTGTATATTTGTTATTTAATAAAATGAAGTGTAACAAAAAGGATACATTGATAAATTTGACTTAGGAAAGTAAAAACATTTTATGTTACTAGGTAGCCTAAAAATGGGGAAAACAGAATTATTATGAATAGGTAATTGCCTAGAATACAAATAAATACACTTGCAAATCATGAAATAATAAAAAAGTACTCTAGTGAGAAAAAATAACACAATATAAAATAGCAGTGTAATAAAATAGATTGACTCAATAGCGGTGAAATTAAAAAAACAAAACAAAACAAAAAACACCACAGCCCCCAGAGCCCAGGTGGATGCTCAGATGGTACAAATGTTTGCCTCCAAGCCTGATGACCCCAGCTTGATCCCTGGTATCCACATGGTGGAGGTTGAGAACCAACTCCTATAAGTTATTCTCTCACCTTCATACTCACACTGTGACACACACACACACACACACACACACACACACACACAAATGAAATGTAAAAATCAACTTTTAGGAATTAAGACGTGAAGCAACAGTGAAAGTCACATGCTTCTTACTGATAAGCAGCAAACCTTTCCAAAAATGTTTCCATGTCAATGAAAACGGAACAAACTTGGCACTCTCATCTAGAAGCATGAAGAAGCTCAACTTGCTTCCAGCTCCAGAGTGTGCCTTGAAGGAAAATAACCAGAGAGGCTCACAGAGATTCCCACCCAGAGAGGTTCATGGGGAGCATTGTTTTAAATGTGGAGATATGCTGTGGGGTAGTCTGTATGTTAAATTGCTCTGATTGGTCAATAAATAAAACACTGATTGGCCAGTGGCTAGGCAGGAAGTATAGGTAGGACTAACAGAGAGGAGAATGGAGGGAACAAGAAGGCGGAGAGAGAGACTGCCACCCGCTGCCATGACAAGCAACATGTGAAGATGCCGGTAAGCCATGAGCCATGTGGCAAAGTATAGATTTATGGAAATGGATTAATTTAAGCTATAAGAACAGTTAGCAAGAAGCCTGCCACGGCCATACAGTTTGTAAGCAATATAAGTCTCTGTGTTTACTTGGTTGGGTCTGAGCGGCTGTGGGACTGGCGGGTGAGAGAGATTTGTCCTGGCTGTGGGCCAGGCAGGAAAACTCTAGCTACAGAGATAATAATAGCCAAAGTGTCTAAAGATTGTTGAGATGAATCATGATACATTTTGTAAGACAATTTCACCCTCCCTTTACATTTGTACTTTTGAAAATGGAGTAACATGAATTGATGCTAAGTAGGGAGACAAATTAGACACAAAATTGCACAGATCTCGTGACCCTTCTTTTATGAAATAGTGTATATGACAACAGACATGATAACATGTGCTTGGAGAGTTTCATAGAGAGGAACGCAGGAGTAAGAAATGCTGAATACTGTCAGCACAAATGAACGCAAGCTCTTACCTAGCTGTTGGCAGTAACGGTTTACCCTGGCTTTAAAACTGTAGTGATAGGCAAATGTCCATGTTTAAAACCATAACAGAAGTTAATAAAGAAATATATTGAATTTCTATTTTCCTATACCACCAAAAAGGTGGTAGGAACAAGAATTTTATTATTTAAATGTAAAGCACCCTTCACAGGCTCACCGAACGGTATCCATACAGCAGTGCTATTGTGGGGGATGCTGTGAACATGAGGAAGTCACTGCATGTGTGTCTGACCTTGGTCTCCCTGCCACTCCACTTCGGCTGTCCTGGGTGAACAGCTCTCCTCTACCACGTGCTTCTCACCATGGGGATGCTACCTCACCACAGCTGGGGATGGAAAACTGGAGTGATGAACCACAATCCATCTCTCCTTTCTTCTTTAAGTTGTTTCCCTCAGGCAAGATGCAACAAAGCACAGAGCAAGGGACAGAAAGGAATTTTAAAACTATTTTAAAATACAATTTAAATGAATTTTTGTTGTTTTTAGTTGTGTGTATGTGGGGGTGGGTTTGGACACATGGAGTTCAGAAGAGTGTGGGGATCCCCTGCGCTGGAGTTACAGGCAGCTGTGAATAGCCTGACATGGGTGCTGGCTGCAGAACTCAGGTCCTGTGCAGGAGGAACACCTGCTCTTAACAACTGGGCCATCTCTCCAGCCCCTCAAAGAAACTGTTAAAATTCAAGACTTACTAGGGGACACTTGAATACCTCACCACATTCTGAGTTAAAAGTAACATGACTCCAAGATTTCTTCCTCTCTGGGTGAGGCTGTCTCTTCCTGGTGACCCTTGTCTGAGTAGAATAATCTCAAGGATGCTTGCTCAGTTCCAATAGCTCTAGATGCAGTGTTGTAGGGCATGTGATCACACTGTGAACCTTGAGTTTGCATTTGCATTAATTAAATAAAATCAACTAGTTGACAGAAAGTAATCATAGAGTGTCAGAGGGAGTCTGGAAGACAGATAGATGCACAGGAAGTAGTAGGGAGGGACCTTGAATGTGGCAGTCCTCTTTGGCTTGGGGCAGCAGGAGAGACACTATCAAAGAGGGAAGACCATCCAGTTGTGCCTCAGCCTCTCTGAGCTAGCAGGTTTTCACCCCAGCCTCTGACTCCCGAGTCTTTATTAGTAAATACAACTATAGAGATTTAGTTAAAAACCACATTTGGGGGCAGCATCAGGAGGTGGATCTCAGGCAGGAGGCTACGGCCTGAGAAGCTGCAGTTACTGGCTGAACCAGCAGTTCAGATGCAGCCACAGTGCCGGTGATAAAACAATGATGTAGTCACTGCTGTCTTGCTAAGGGAGGGGGGAAGTTGGTTGGACCCTTCAGTGGTGCTTCCAAAGGCAGAATCTAGAACTTTGGTGCCGGAGCTTACTAACTAGTAGGTGTCCCAAAACGCTAGGGCCAAAGAACTCATGGCATAGATCAGAGCATTGGCTGCTATCCTGTCAGAGGCAGCAGAGGGCAGGGGTTGCTCTCTCCCAGGCTCACTTCCCTGGACTCCCCACTCCAAACAGCCCTGTGTTTCTAGCACTTGAGCTACTTGTTGTAATAGCCATTGCGACACATACACACAGAGACATACACGTGAGCACACACACACAGGCACATACAAACACACAAGTGCACACACATACACACAGAGATGTACAAGTGTACACACAGAGACACACAAGTGTACACACAGAGACACACAAGTGTACACACAGAGACACACAAGTGTACACACAGACACACACAAGTGTATACACAGACACACACATAGATACACACAGACACACAATGTACACACACAGATACACACAGACAAAATTGCACACTTACAGATACATACACAGACACACACATGCATACACACACACACACACACACACACACACACACACACACAGAGACATGCACAAACACACACAAGCTGGAGCCCTGGGTAGAGGAGGGTTAAGCAGAGTGGATGCATCATCTGCAGTCTCCTCTGTGACAACTCGTATGAAGCATGGATGCCATGTCACCAGCCAGAACAAGTTAGAGCCCAAGGAGAAATATGATACGGAGGTTCATCCTATAAGAAGGCTTATGCATATCCATGCATCATTTTGCCCATCAATTCTTAGGTTCTGTATAAGTGTGTGGAGTTTCCTCCTCTACCCTCCAAACTCCATCAAATTCTTCACACTCTTTTCCAATTAAAAAGAAGAAATTGGGGACTGGAGAGATGGCTCAGCATTTAAGATGACTTGCTTCACAATCACAAGGACCCATGCTTTGATTCCAGCACTCACCTAAAGTCCTGGCTTCTCCACAAACACCCATAAGCTTGGCTCAAGGAGAACAGAGACAGGAGGATTGCTGGGGCTTGGTGGCTTTAAGGAGACCCAGGATGAAAGAGAGATGCAGCTGCTGTGGGATAATCCTTCTGTACACTGTGAATATGCATTACTCTCATTGGTTAATAATAAAGCAAGGCAGGACAAGGTTAGGTGGGACAGTGAAACTGAGAACTGGGATATGAAGAAGGGTGGAGTTGAGAGAGATCCAAGGACCACTCAACAAGCAAGATGCCAGAGGACCAGTAAAGCCACAGGCCATGTGGCAATCCATAGATTAATAGAAATGGGTTAATTGAAATGTGAGAGCTAGTTAATAATAAGCCTGAGCTATTGTCCAAGCATTTTGTAATTAATATAAGCTTTTGTGTTTTTGTTTGGGACCAGGTGATTGGGACAGGAAAACTCCACCACTGATTACAGATGGTGTTTCAACATGGGGCCGGAATTTCTACATAAGACCTAACAAAGCTTTAAAAATGGTTCTAGAACACAAAAACAAGAGTCCAAAACAACTTCATAGTTCATGTCTCTCTTGCAGGCCACATACAGAGATGCGTCCCCTGGCCACAGCATGTAGGCTTGAGCTGCAGCATGGCAGATTCCCGCAGTCTCAACAGGCCGTGGTACAGAGAGGTGTCTCCCAGCTGTGCTCTGTGTGGTGGAGTTAGGGTTCTTGCTCATACAGACAAAAAGGGTTAGAGACACACAGTGAAGACAGACTCAGACAAAGGCCTCTGAACGGGTCACAGTGTGTTTGAAAAATATACACACGCTTCGGAGAGAGAAGAAAAAGGGTTGAAATAGTCATGAATTTAAAAAAATGATTTAAAAAAATAATAAAGTCCTTAAAAAAGGGAATAGAATAATAAAAAGTTATAATAAGTCACATAAAGATGGAAAAAACACAGAGAGTCTGGATTCTATATTTTATTGTGTTGTCTTTGATTTTTTTTTTTTACTGTTAATGGGTGAATGGTAACTGCTGAGAGACATTTGATTGTGAAATCTACTAAAGTATATCAATTTCAAATATTTTAAAAATATCTTGACTCCAAAACTTAAGACAAAAGGTACGTTGCTTAGGGAGAGAGGTTGTGTTTTTGTTTCTGCAAGAAATGAGAGGCTATGGATTCTGGGCTAAGGAAAATTCAGGTTTGATTGGAGAAGACCCCCTGAAATGCTGACCAAAGACATGGGAAAATAAACCTAAAGTAACTACAAGACACGTGGCATAAATTTTACCTGCTCAAACAAAACAAAAGAATTATCTTTGACTGGCTTGTGTACAACACACAGTTTATATCTGTATTAATGCAGAGATGTATGTTACCTTTTAAAAATTATGTATTTTCAGAACAAGGGGACCAGACACCAATAAAAATGGCCCAGATCATCAAACATCCAAAATAGCTTCCAGGCTGCTGACTGAGATAATACAACCTCATAGAATACTCCAGCTAAGACTTAACAATTATCCTGATTTTCTCAGAGTCTCTCAAAGATTACCAATGCCCACCAATCAGCAGGAAGTAGTCTAGAAAACTATGCCCACATTCCCAGAATACTGGTTATAAATGCTTGTTTTCATTTAAGGAGGGTTGGTTACAAATATTTATTAGTCACAGTCAATCTCTTTTTAAAAGAAGAAGGGGGATATGATATGGAAATGATGGGGGGGAAAGGTAGATTATTGAGATGGGAAAAAGGGAAAAAGATTATTGAATCTACTTTAACCCCAAAAAAACAACTGTTAATCATAAAATATTTTACATTGATATGGATTTTAGTTTATTGATACAAATTGAAAGTTAATTTTGTTATACTGTATGCATAGTTCTACTCTTGTTTAAGGTATTATATTTATGCAGCTCAATTAAAAGTGCAGTGTAGAATTAAGAAATACAGATTAATAGTCCTCTATAATAGTTAAACTTATAATCATGTTGATTAAATTTTCTAGGTATACAAAGATATATTTCAGATAGATAGGTAATCTTCAAATACTTCAGAGACCTACAGAACATAGCATTTAAAATGTTTTAATAACTTAGACTTTTAATGACAGTGAGACACATCTGCTCCTGACAGCACATACTCTAGAGAAGAGGATGGGCATTGAAGAAACCCCATATGGAGTTTGTTTCCTTATGGCAAAAGCTAGCCATGAAGACAAAGAAACTGCTCTTGCCTCAATTGCTGAAAGTTACTGTCCAGACTAAACCAGCAGGACACAAAAAAGGTGACTGCTGAACTTTGCCAAGACAAGGTAGGACAGTCCTCAGAATTCCCTGCTTCACAGAACAACCTGTCAGATATGCTAGGCCTGTAGGCAAAGATGGATGCCCCAATGTTATAGAGAAACTTTGGGTGACTGTCCAGACAGCCTGATATCCCTGTTATTAGGTAACATTTCATCCTTTTGGTGTCTTTGATGGAGTTGAAGACTAGATAGTCATAGTTATAATTTTTCTTAGTTATGATGAAAGGGTAAATTAGATAAAAAACTTGGGACTCTCCAAAATAGGATGGATAATTGAGTGTTTTCTCTGATTTTGTCAAATACAAATAGATTGGATATTATAACTATAATTCTAGCCTGATAATTGTTTTGTTGTATGTAATTTTACTATTAAAGTTAAAAACCTTCATTTTTGATTAGATAGAAAGGGGGAAGTATTGTAAGATAATCCTTCTGTATGCTGTAAATATACATGGCTCTCATTGGTTAATAACAGCTGGTTGGCCTATAGCAAGGCAGGATAAAGTTAGGCAGGACAATCAAACTGAGGATAAAGAAGGGTGGAGTCTAGAGAGATGCCAGGACCACCCAACAAGCAAGATGCCAGAGGACCAGTAAAGCCACAGGCCATGTGGCAATCCATAGATTAATAGAAATGGGTTAATTTAAATGTAAGAGCTACTTAGTAATAAGCCTGAGCTATTGGCCAAGCATTTTGTAATTAATATAAGCTTTTGTGTTTATTTGGGACTGGGCGGTAGGGACAGGAAAACTGCCTCCGATTACATGTGGCCTCAAAAGAATGAGTGGCAAGTGATGGAGAGGGATGCTGGTGTCGGCCTTTGCATGCAGAAATAGATGTGCATGCACACACACACACACACACACACACACACACACACACGTAAAAACTTTTAAAATGAAGGTGCGGCCCAATGAAGTGTGTGTTCTCTATATTGTGCTCTTTAAACCCTATCAATAGATTATTTCCTTTCCAGATAAAGTCTCAGCAAGGGCCCAACACATACACTAGTTAAACAGATGGACATGCTCACAAGCTAGAGAAGCCCCTGGCCCTGCAGAAGACAGCTGTTAGCAAAGCACATGGTACATGCTTCTGCAGACCAGGCTGCTGCAGAGCCTAATCTGGATGTCTCCTGCTCACAGAAGGTAAGGCAAGTTGGAGCTCTGATTGGCTCAGCCATTAAAGCTACCTTGGCACTTGGTACTTTGTATGTGAGAAAAGCTCCCAGGGTGAAGCTGAGCACACCACCTGTCTCACTAGATCTGGTGACACACAGAGCCATTTGTTCCTTATTCTCAGTGTAAAACTAAAGATATTCTTAATTAAAAGGATTACTATTCTCTACTTCTATCCAAGCCAAGCTCTGCAGGACCATTCTCGTCTTCCTGGGATCCCTGCATCAGCTGCTGGGTGGACTGCTTGCAGTTTGAGAAGCCTGGGTCTTTCTTATTTTCCTGACTAAATCCTCAACCAAATCCTGCCACACTTAGAAGCAAGGAAACCACAAACCATTTTGACACATCATTCGACCAAAAGAAACTCCAAGAAAGCCCTAAGCTAGAGGGAAGCATTGATTGTGCTTGATTTGAGTACATAACAGAATTCTCTCATGTCTTCCAGTTTGGAACTTCAGCCCTTATAATGACCACCAGGTAGTGGGTGCTTTTTCATTACATTTTGTGATACATCTAGAATTTGCCAAACCCTCACAAAGAATGGATTACATGCTGTTTTTGTTTGGTTGGTTTTTGTTTTACTTAAAGTAAAAAGTAATTTAATGTGATTTTTATATTTTCATCATCCTCTGTAATTTCCGACTTGTTAGGTCTCAAACCCAGGACAAATGGCTAACTGAGGTGTCCGTTAACAACATATCAAAGCTGATGTCAGCCATTACAGATTTGCGTACCCCGCCCCCTGCCCTGAACTCTCCAATCCAAAGGCTAGGCTTCCCTCCCCCCAGCTCTTCCCGCCCCTATATAACTCAGCCATTTTGGCTACACCAGTCTCTTAGCCCAGGCTGCCCCTCTTGGTCAGCGGCTCCTCTCTTGCTCTCCTCCCTCTCTTGTCACATGGCCCAGCTCAGTTTGACCATGTCCACTCTGGTCTCTCCCAGATGTCCCTGCCTCTGCTCTCCCTAATCTACAATAAACTTTCTCCTCCATCATACCCAAGAGCAGGCATGTCCTTCCTTTTTGTTTTTTTTTTTTTTTTTCATTCATCTGGTGCTGAAACCTGGGACTGAACCAGTTTGAGTTGAAACCTAACACAACCTTCTATAAAACAGATAGATTAAGATCTTAGATCTCTTTGAGGTCTGGGAAAAACAAAAGAATGCCTCTCTCTCCCCCTTCCCCTCTTTGGTGTGTGTGTGTGTGTGTGCGTGTGCGTGTGCGTGTGCGTGTGTGTGTGTGTGTAATAAAGATCAGACCATTCAGGGATCTTAGTCACTCGGGTATAATTAATACACTACAGTAAAATAATGAGGAAGGACAAAGAGGAGGAGGAAGAGCTGGGAGGAGGAAACAGCCCCACAAACATTAAGTCACCTCTTGCTGACTTTGCTTTTCTGTCCCCTGTGGTGACTAGGCTGCCACAGACATTTCTAAGGCAAATCCCTCTTAGCTCGGCTTATACTATCCAGATCCCTAAATGCAGGCAGTCACTCACTCTTTGATCCCTTTTACTTCCTGTTCTTATCAAGGAAACAACGGAAGTGAATTCATTCATGTAGACCCCTCATGCTGGTTTTCCCTTTCCTCTCCACCTCTTCTCACCTGCACAGCCCTTGAATTCCATCAGGTATTATTGCACTAAGAGATCGAGGCAGGGTAGTGAGGTGGAGAGACGTGTGAAGATGGACATAAAGCCAGTTGGCAGAAAGACTTGAAGTCCCTCCCAACCAGGGCTACACGTAAGGGACCGAGTATGAGCAAGAAGTGTGTCCTATCCAACACAGGTGATGCGGGCGTGACGGAAACCACTCAGATGGACGGACTCTTGTGGCCCTGGCTCTCAGGCACACTTGGCCCACTTCCCCCTTGGAAGTGCTCTCTTAATGTTTTCAACAACCTCTCTCCAATTCTTTGTTCCAGGACACAAGACCCCGAAGCCCCGGTGTGTGCTCTCCGGCCTCCAATCCACACCTATAACAATATTGTTGCAGTAACTGAAGCTTTCTTTGCAAAATCTTCTCCTCTTGTTCTGCCTGCCCATCCAGGAGAACAGCCTCTGTCAGTCAAAGAGTCTGAACACTTTGTAGAATTCTTTGAGCCCTAACCAAAAGAGCAATGCCCCTAACATGATTTCCTGTCTGTGTAGAAGAAACACATTCTAACACAGAGTAGCTCTGTAGAGTTGTTAGGTCTCAAGGACTCTGAAACGGGGTTGAAAGCAGCTGTTTTGAAGACCTGCTTCTGCCATTGTTGTGTTCGGGCTTTTGTTTGTTAGCTTAGAAGAAACCCATAAGCGTCCTAATTGAACCCACTATGCTGTTAAGAGGTTATCTGTAGAGGTGATGGCATTTGGAAACTATCGTGAAACCTCCTCCTCACTGTGCTCAACTCACCCAGAGGGACTGTCACTAAGGGCACCTGTCAGCGTCCTTAGTACCAGACACCATACTGAGGTTTCTCTTCCCCAGCCCTGGTACACGGTTTTGAGATGTATCAATGGTGGTTATGAAGGTGAGGAAACAAGCTATTATTATTGAGATACTCGAAAGATGAGCCACCCTCCCTTTGGTATCATTGGGATGTTCTACATGAAGCCACACAGAAAATAAACCCAAATCTCAGAGTCCTCAAGATTCAGGCTGCCCGTCTGAAGTAAGACGGGATCTACGTGAGCTAAGACAGGACAGAGAAACGTCAACATGCTCCATTAAAGAACTAACAGACAGAGTCGGGAGTGTTCACAGGACCATCCACCCAGCAGCAGGCAGGGATGAGCAGGGATGCTCTGCATCCATTTCTGTTATTACAACAAGCAGCAACTTAGGGGAAAGGGGAATTATTTTAGCTCAAAATCCCAGGACACAATGCATCCCTGCAGGGCAGCCAGAGCAGAGGAGCTCAGGACAGCTGGTCACATCACAGCCACAGTCCAGGGTGGAGTCAGAAGGGAATGCACAGGGGAGGTTTCAATGACAATGGCCCCGTAGGCCCATATGCTTGAATACTTGGTTCCCAGTTGGTAGAATTGTTTCCAGTTGTTTGGGAAGGACAAGGAGGTGTGACATTGTTGGAGGAGGTGTGTTATTAGAGGTGGGCTTTGGAGTTGCCAAAATCCCACACCATTCTCTGTTAGCTCTCTCTGCCTGGTGCTAGTGGATCAAGATGCGAGCTCCCAGTACTGCTCCAGCACCAGGCCTGCCTGCTTCATGCTCCCCACCAAGATGGTCATGGACTTTAAGGCTCCTAAACTGTGAGCACCAAATAAGCTCTTTCTTCTGTAAGTTGTCTTGGTTATAGTTTCTTACCACAGCAATAGAAAAGTACCTAAGATGTTGTCTTAGGGTTTCTATTGCTGTGAAGAAACACCATGACCACAGCAACTCTTATAAAGGAAAGTGTTAATTGGGGCTGGCTTACAGTTCAGAGGTTTAGTCCATTATCATCATGGTGGGAAGCATGGTGGTGCGCAGGCAGACATGGTGCTGGAGTGGGAGCTGAGAGTTCCACAGCCGGATTGGCAGGCAGCAGGAAGAGAGAGTAACGCTGGGCCTGGCTTGGGCTTCTGAGACCTCAGAGCCCACCCCCAGTGACACACTTCTTCCAACAAGGCCACACCTCCTAATAGTGCCACCTCCTATGAGCCCCATGGGGACATTTTCATTCAAACCACCACCAATGGCCTGTGTACTTAGTGCTCAGCTGGCTTCCTCTACTCTTAATAGTCAGTGGCTCCGTGAAATGGTGCCAACCACATTCAGGGGGGATCTTCTCACCTCAACTAACCCAATTAAGAAGAACATTTCTCACAGGCAGGCCAGCAGGCCCATCTGATCTCAGCAATTTCTCACTGAGACTTTCTTCCCAGGTGGTTCTAAATTGTGGCAACTTGATAATAAACTGAAGCACTAACCATCGCAGAGTAGGAGGTCATAACATAAATGCTGCAGAATGCTGAGCATGACTAGACAGATGACCCAAGGGGAAACGGTGTAGAGAAACTTCATGCTACAAGTATGAGGCCATGGCTTGTTCAAAGTTTCCAAATTTCCCTAATTTTTTGCAAGTACATGTGAATGTGTATGTGGTTATGTACATCTGCATGTTCACATCTGTGTGGGTGCATGTGTGTAGGCATGCCCATGCACATGTGTGCACACACATGTAGAGAGTAGAGGTTGATCTGTAGTGTGTTCCTGGATTGTGCTCCACATTATTTACTGAGTCAGGGTCTGTCACTGAACTCAGGGCTTGCTGACTCAGCTGGTATCTAGTCAGCTTGCCCCCGGGTCACCTGTCCCCAGGTCACCTGTCTCTGTGCTCCAGGTGCTGGGATTACAGTAAAGCCACCTTGGGCTGCTGGGGACCTGACCTCCAGTCTTCGTGTTTCTAGGGCAAATGCCTTGTCTGTGAAGTGGTCCCTGCCCCCAGCTCCTCCTTTTAATCTTTCTGTCTTACGTTCCAGAATCCCAGTCAGCATGCCTCCTTTAGCTGCTCTTAGCCATGAAAGTGTTTCAAGCTTGTCTTATTTTTGACAGCCTTAAGAGTTTTAAGAGACCTGGTCAGGCATGCCACAGGATGCTCCTCTGCTGAGATTTGTCGGACACTTTTGTCGTGGTTAGACTGGAGTTGGAAGGTTTGGTGAGAGGCACTGCAGAAGTAAAATGATGTTTCATCACATCTCACGGAGGGTGCGAACTCTGCACTTGACTTCCCACTGCTGGTGTGGACCCCGATCCCCAGGCATACATTGAGTTTCTCTACTACACTTTGCCAGAGCCCACACCCATCTTTTCAATCCTGTATGTAGCCTTTGGAAGGAAACCATTCTATGCAGGCACCACCTGAGGAGCATGAAATTATGCTTCCCAGCAGAATTTTTGAGAACATGATATATGTGTAACTATATCCCCAACCGGGATGGTTAAGAATTTCCACTCTACACAAACCCTACATGCACGCGCTGTTCAAGGGAAACCAAGGAGAAGGGATTGGTTGCCATTCTGTGTTGGGAAGAGAGAAGAAGAACTACAGATAAGATGCTTGTGGGACCAAGAAGTCTGCAGCAGCCAGAAAGGAGAGAGAGAAAGTGAAGCTGGAGAGCGTGACTATCAGACTGAGTACACTTGGACAGAGCTCGTCCTGTTCACTTACATTCCAAAGAACAAGGTGACCCCAGACGGCCACTAGGAGACACATACCCTCACTTCAACTATGTATTTGATAACTGTTGTATTTGATAACACATACTGCAGCAGGTAAGGAAGGGCTAGGGAAAGGGGGAGGGTCACTTCCACAGTCCCCTTGTCTGAGGACCCTCAGAGAAACACAAGTGCTACCAGCTGCCACTCCGTCTAACCTGGCACTTGTTCGGTTCCCTCATCAATTTCACATCATTCTCGTATCCCACAGTCACAAAAGATCCATGGACTGGGGACAGAAACACCAGTCTCCCTTGGTCTCAGGAGTCTTCGCCCAAAGCCAATGGGTTTTCAAGCAAATATTATTTGATACAATTAATTATTATTTTATATAGAATATAAGTAAAACACATCAGTTTTTTTCTAATCCTATAAACTTCAATATACAAAAAAACAGAAAATAAAAGGAACTTGGTTTGTAAATTTACCTTCAAGGCAGGTTCCTACCCTAATCTCTATACCAGCCAAAATGATGATTGTCCCTCATCTCCTTCTCTTGTGAAATCCAGAACTCCCTGACATGACACAGGAAGTCAGCACATCATTACGGCCTTCTGGCTATTAGAAAAATGCACACACACGAAGCTTTGGGTTCACAAAAGCCAAAATATCTCACTAGGCTTAGGACAGCTCAGTTCATGCCTGCTGAACCATGTGGTTGCCATCTTTAAATATTTAATAGTCTAATGTTTGCATGGGCAATGCAGACAGTCAAGGCAAGCAGATACAGGGACACTTCCTGAATTTCTTTTCTTAAATTTCTTTTTTCTTTGTTATTTATTTATTTATTTTTTGGTTTTTCGAGACAGGGTTTCTCTGTGTAGCTTTGCGCCTTTCCTGGATCTCACTCTGTAGCCCAGGCTGGCCTTGAACTCACAGAGATTTGCCTGCCTCTGCCTCCCGAGTTCTGGGATTAAAAGTGTGTGCCACCACTGCCCGTTTTTTTTTTATTTTTTTATTCTATGTATAAATCTTGCCTGCATGTATATATGTTCAGCACATGTGTGCATTTCTGCAATTTCTTAATGTTCAAAACAGCAATAAAAGATATTAAAACAGCTTGTGCATGCCACAAAAGGGTAAATACTGATCTAGAAATCACATATGCATTAGGGTAGAGAGGACTATAAGCCAACACCTTCATCTACCTCCGAAAGGACAGGAACTGGAAAAATAGCTCTTCTGGCTATAAGATAGTGATATTTTAAAATAAAGCAAAATATACATCTATGTAGGCACTAAAGATGTTAGACTCAAGCCATACTGAATGGATGCAGTCCACAGCTCTGCAGAGCACCTGAAGAAGGAGGGATCTTGGGTTATCTCAGGGGCTTTTCAAATGTGTCAGAAGTCTCAGGATCCTGTCTTCAAATAAATTATCAGAGAAATAAAGGGATGACTCTGCTTGAGCAGGTTGGGCCAGAGATCCCATGCCTCTGAAAGGGCATCAGATTAACACTGTTTGAAAGCCATTTCTCCAATTCAATTTCCTTAGTTTACAGAGGCATTTGAAGATATGCTGAGAAGGAGATGGAATTGGATGTACTGAGGTGCTGAGAGATGTGATATTCAAAGCCTTAAGCTTCTTTCTTCATGCTCCAGAACTTTGTGGGATCTGTTAAAGCATGCTTCCCAAAGAGAACTGTTAAAAATTTCTGAGCACCACTGCAGGCATGCTGGTTTAGAAGTTTAGAATCGGTCATGAATTTCCACTTCTCACCACCCTCCAGTGTTGCCACTGCGGGCCCGGACCCCACCTCCCTCACCTTGGGTATCAGTGCATGAGAAGCAAGACTCCAGATGCAGCCTCAAGCTGTTCAATGCACCAGCTCCGAACAGTCTCAGAAACCCCACCCTCACTTTCATGAGTCACCTCAGTTAAATTCTCCTCAGACAAGCCGCCACCTCTCACTGGACCCTGACTGGCGCACAGCATCTCTCCTTGATTGTTCTCCCAAGAGACCTGTGCATGAGGACTCTCTCCCCCTGATGGCCCACTCTGCCTGTGCTGACTTCAGTCTAGGAGAGCTGCCCACACTCTCCACCTCACACTTGAACAAAAAGATAATTCATCTGAAATCAATTCAGTTTGGGAAACTCAAAAGTTCATACCCAAGTTAGTTGTATCATTTGATAAGTATACTCTGGCTTAGCTGCAAATCAGGGTGTACTGTGAACTCTTCCTAACAGCTAAGTGATGGAATCCACCTCGGTGTCCAACGACAGAAGATGGACAAGGAAAGGATGGAATGCTTTTTCAGACATAAAGACAAAATTAGCGTTGTCTGCCGGAAAACGGATGTGACCAGAGGTCACAAACCAAGCAAACAAGTCTCAGAAGACAGAGCTTTACGATTTCTCTCTTTTCGTAGCTCCTGGATCTTGTGTAATTACATAGTATGCACATGACTATTATATATGTGAGTGAAACTGTCAGGAGGGAAGAGAAGAGTGAAACACCAGAAACGGGGTGGGGATGCTCAGTCTACACCGGTGTGGATTTTAAAATAATGACAATACACAAAAAGGGCGGAGAAGGTGGCTCAGTTGGTGAAGGCCCTGTCGCACAAGCAGGACTTAGGTTTGGATCCGCAGAATCCACATAAAAAGCCTGAAGCGGTTGTTTGTGCCTCTAACCTCAGCCCTGGAGACTGGGAGGGTGGGAAACAGGCAGAGTCCTGAAGGTCATGCCAGCCGGCCCAGCTGACCCAGTGAGCTACAGGTTCAGCGAGAGCTTCTGCTTAAAAGACAAAATAAAGATGGAGAGTGATCAAGGACGCTCTGGCCTCTGCAGCCACATCTACACACATACGCACGTCTATACCAAGTACATACAACACAACACCCCTAAAAGACATGGAGGAAAATATCTTAGTCAAATGACAGATAAAATCACTCTTGCACGTGGAGTTTTTAGACGTGACTTTCAGTTTATTTGTTTGATTGTTTGCAAGCATCACAAGGATTGATACTTTCATTAACAGGGTATCTGTCGTTCAGTAAATACTGGCTGCTGTCCACCAACATAAACTGAGCTCTCACTAAGACCCGGGCAAGTGCAGGTCCAAGGTGAGTCAACCAAT